GCAGTTCTCTCCGTAGAGGCTCAACTTTCTCCTGTTGAGTGACATTTTTTCCAAAAAGTGATTATCGATGTATTTGAGATGGACATAAGGATCTGCAGTGGCGGCTTCGGCCTCAGTGTCTGTTGAGTTCTGATGGACATACTCTGCTGAACAGTCCAGAAGGCTGTGAGTTTCTTGTGGATCCTCATTTGAAAAAGATGCCAAGTCTTCAAATGGAACGTTCCTTGTGAATCTCTAGAGTCTGCTAAGATTTGAGCTGGTCCTTTCCCTTGAGGGTCTTTTCCTTTGCACCTTTGCCAGGTGGCACACACCCTCCCCACAGTTTCATCTTAGGCTGCTCTGAGTCACTCTAATTCGGTGCTTCACCACCTTTGGTTCACGGATGTCCCTCTAGTATCTTTTCCAGTGCTGCGCTTTTAACCTGTTGCGCTGCCAGGGAGGGCCCCCTCTAGTGTCTTTAAAAAAGCTGTGGCTGCAGAGTGACTTCCAGACTGATGTGGTCCTTGATGAGAATGAATAGTCAGGAGAAGGAACTTGGGGATGAAGACCCGCCCGCCCAGCACAGCAGTTTAAACATGTTAAACTGTGCTATTGTGTTAAAGCTCACAAGTTTGGCCAAAAACCCTTCTATCTCCTGTCCAGGTTGTTGTATTCTGAATCCTGAGGTAGTCATCATATTGCAAGAAGGACATCCGTGGACTGCAGAGAGCCCCGCAAAGCAGACTTTCTCAGGTCAGTCAAAGCACGTCAGGTAGGGAAAGAGGAAGGGAGGGAGGGAGGGGCATGCAGGCCATACGGACCTGCTTATGCTTATCAGTAGTGAGCTACTATCTGTGCATAATGAGTGTGGGAAGCCTGTAAGTCAGCGCCCAGTGCCAGAGAGAGGACTCCACCACAGAGAGACTCTCTACAAATGTGGAATACAGAGGTGGTGTTTTATTGCACCAGAAATTCATTTTTCACAAGTTATTTTATTTTATAGGTCTTATTTATGCATCTAAGAACTGGGGTATCAGTCAAGAGGTCTGGATGGTGAGACAGGTGGGCAGAACAGGTGGATCTTCCTGAAATACACTGTTAAGGGGGAGCATGGGGGAGACAGGAGGGGTCTGTTGCGCCATGTGGGTCAGCCCTGGCTGGGGATCTAACAAATGCATCAATGGCTGACAATAGATTGATAGCACTGAGACATTAACCCCTGCAGTGCCTTACGAGCTCTGAATACACACATCATAAAAGTAATCTAAGTGGAATAGGTTTAATCTGGTCAAATGATAGCACTATTATTTCACAGAAGTCAGCAGAGAAGAACTTAAGTATAACTTACTGATCAGTTTCTGTAAGGGGGCTCTCTCGTAGCATGGGGTCAAGTTTCAGCACTATGAACCTGTCAGCAGCCACTGCAGCATGAGGTCAACCTCTCCTGTCACCCCCGCAGCTCCCCACTGCAGTGTATTTCAGTCAGCCAACCTGCTTTGCTCCCCACTCTGTCTCTGGTGAATCCCCTCATCCCAGCCCCCAGCCGTTCTGGCCTGCACCTCTGCTCTTCTGTGTATATATGAATCATTAAAAGTTGCTGTGAAATACCTGTTCTTACTAAACATTATACGATACAACAGGGGAACCTTATGGATGTTGGAAGACCTGTGAGAATTCAACCCTCCACAAACATCAGAAAACTCTTACAAGAGAGAAGCGTTATAAGTGCAAAGAGTGTACGAAAGCTTTCTATTGGAAGTCAGTCCTCAAGAGACATGAGATCATTCACACTGGAGAGAAACCCTATGAGTGTAAAGAATGTGGGAAAACTTTCTCATGTCAGTCATACCTGAAGGTGCATCAGAGAATTCACACTGGAGAGAAACCCCATGAGTGTAAAGAATGTAGGAAGACGTTCTTTAGGCGGGTCGATCTTAAGAGACACCAGGGTACTCACACAGGAGAGAGACCCTATGGATGTAAAGAATGTACAAAACGTTTCTGCAGGCTGTCTGCCCTCAAGAAACACCAGAGCACTCACATAGAAGAGAAAGGCTATGATTGTAACGAATGTATGAAATCTTTTCTTAAGTGGGAAATATTTAACAAACACCAAGGTAGTCATAAAAGAGAGAAAACCTTTGAGTGTAAAGAATGTGCAAAAACTTTCTGTTGGGAGTCAATCCTCAAGAAACACGAGAGAATTCACAAAGTAGAGAAACCCTATGAATGTGAAGAATGTAAGAAAACCTTCTCTAGGAGGGAAACCCTGAAGAGACACCAGGTTGTTCACAGTGGAGAGAAACCCTTTGAGTGTACAGAATGTAGGAAAACATTCTTTAGGCAAGTAGATCTTAAGCTGCATCAGGTTACTCACAGTGCAGAGAGACCTTACGAGTGTAAAGAATGTGCCAAAACTTTCCGCTGGCGGTCGGTCCTCAAGAAACACCAGAGGATTCACACAGGAGAGAAACCCTATGAATGTAAAGAATGTAGGAAAACTTTCTCTAGGCAGGAAATTTTCAAGAGACACCAGGTTGTTCACAATGGAGAGAAACGCAATGAATGTCAAGAATGTAAGAAAACTTTCTGCTGGCAGTCCGACCTCAAGGCTCACCTGAGAATTCACACAGGAGAGAGACCCTATGAGTGTAACGAATGTATGAAAACTTTCTGCTGGCGGTCAGCCCTCAGGAAACACCAGAAAATTCACAGAGGAGAGAGACCCCATGAGTGTGAAGAATGTAGAAAAACTTTCTGCTGGCAGTCGGACCTCAAGAAACACCAGCGTATTCACAATGGAAAGAGACCTGTGAATGTTAAGAATGTCAAAACTTCCTTGAGGCAGTAATCCCTCAATACATAACAGAATTCACACAGGAGAGAGACATGATGAGTGTAAAGACTATACGAAAGCATTCTCTCCCTAAACATCAGAGAAATCACAGAGGACTGCAGCTGTTATTAGCAAGACTGGCCATTCGTTCACAATTTCGGTATAATTTTTGGTTTGATGTAAACTAAGTTTTATTCAGCATTAAAAAAAAAACCTGATGTAGGCAAGAGATGCAGTGTGTGAGAGGATTCAGCAGAGATGGGGAGGGAAGGAGAACAGGTAGATCTACTGAAATATACTGCTGAGGGCAGCAGTGGTCAGGATCAAAGAGGTCTGCTGTGCCGTGTGGGTCAGCTTGCTGGCCGGGCCTCTGATTCAGGCCATTGACTTGCGGCTCAAAGTAGTAGCACTGGGTCTTACCCCACCCTGTCAGTTTTTAAACATTATTTGGCTGTTACACTCTCTTTGCTCTTTGTTACTCTTTGCTCTCTCTTTAAGTTTATTTTTACGCAAAAAGGAGCTGGGGTACAGGCCAGAGGTGCAGGGTGATAGGATTCAGCAGAGAGGGTGGGGAGCAGAACAGGCAGACTGAAGTCCACTGCTGAGGGGAGCAGTTTGGAGACAGAGTTTTGAGCTGTGGGCCAGCTCCCAGGCTGTGGTTGCAGGGAATAACTTGCTATCATTAGACCTAACCCCTGCTCCTACGCATTGACCTTGGTTTTCTTTCTTTATAATTTCTGTAAGCTTTTTAGTCTCATGAGAGAAACTATAAACATCTGGCATACAGACTCCTGTGTATGATGGTTGGTGCTGTTGCAGAAGTGTACTTGAAATTCTCACTTGCTCTTAGCTGCTACGAGTGCAGAAGCCCTCAGCTGCCTGAACTGCTCTGTGGAGGGAGACGTGTCCCCACTGGAGCCTGAACCCCGCCTGGGGTGCTCCAGTAATGTGAACTGCCTTGGGTGTGCTGGGTGCTTTATGAAAGTCTGTCATTTTAAGCCTGTGACAAAATTGCATTGCTATCTTAATTTCAGAAATCGTTTTTGATCACTAAAGTCTATCTTATGTATATATGTATTTATATCCTTCATTTTGTATGCTATTGTATCTCAGTTGTAATCTTACAAGGATTCTTAATTTTCCTTGTAGAAAAATAGTAGAACACATTGGATCTGTGTTGTGATAGAACATCATAGAGAAACTTGATCTTGAGAAAAATAAAACGGTTACAGTTTTTCAGCATGAGAGGGCCGCTCTGGTGGAAGTGGGGTGACAGTCAGTGCAGCAAGCTATGGGCAGCTGCTTCCTCATGAGTTGATCCCCAGCCAGGGAATGACCCACAGGGCACAGCAGACCTCTCCTGTCTCCCTGCTGCTGCCCTCAGCAGTGGACTTCATCCATCTGCCCATTCTGCTCCCCACTGTCTGGTGATTCCTCACAGCCCCACACCTCTAGCCTGTACCCCAGTCTCGTATGCATAAATTAAGTTATATATGTGTGTGTGTGTGTATATATATATATATAGTTATAAATATTATATTACAGCTTTTATTTATGCATGCAGAGTTGGGGTACAGGCCAAAGGAGCAGGGGTGGTAAGAGGCCCCACCAGAGACAATGGGGAGCAGAACAGGCCGGCTGACAAGTACACTGCTGAGGGGAGCAGCGGGCTGGTCAGGATAGGTCTGCTGCTCCATGGGGGTCACTTCCGGGGTGGGGATCAAACTTCCGCTGAAGTGGCTGCTCTCTCACCCCACCCATTGTACCACCAGGGAGGGCATATCCTTTAAAAAAAGAACATGCTGATCTCCTGCAAACCCTCCCAGCACCCAGCATTTTACTCCTTGTATAAATGACCCTGCACTTTGCATCCAGCAGGACATGGTGTCTCAGGCTTGATGCCATCCTGCTCAGTTTGTCAGCAAATTAAATTACTTTCCTTCCCCTCAAACTTTCCCTTTATGGGCTGTTGGATAACAGCTTTGTCTAAAAACACCTGACCCTAGTGTGGTTTTGAAGACATGGGGTTAAGTAGTGGGGCCCTAAGATTCTCAGCACCCAGTTACCCATCCGTCCCCTGGTGGGTAAAAGTCTACCCCAAAGAGATTGGCCCAACGCAAAACTGAAAGCCAGACACAAGTTTAAAGCACCTTCTGGCTCCTCCCTGGTGGCACAATGGGTAAGGATGGCAGCACTACAAGCTGGCCTCTTCTGCCTCAAGTTCCATCCCGGCCCCGGAGGTGACCACATGGCGTGGCAGACCTCTCCTGACCCGCCCGCTGCTCCCCTCAGCAGTGTACTTCCTCCGTCTGCCTGTTCTTCACCCCTCTTTGTCTCTGGTGAATCCTCTCACTGCCCCTGCACCTCTGGCCTGCACCCCAGTTCTGTATGCAGAAATAAATCTTGAGAAGTGAAGCACCTTCCGGCAGGGACCCATAGGAAAGGGTCAGACATGGCCAGGCAAGTCTGGGAGGAAAAGAGCAAAATCCAGATAAACACTGCCATGGTCTGTATCCCTGTGGATCTTTCTGTGACACAACTATTAATTTCTTACACATAAAACATTTTGTGGACTTGGTTCTAGTTAACTGCTTGTATTAAAACCCTTGACAGAGTGAATGGTGGCAACTGTGAGGTGAAATACATCCTCATTTGTTCCCAAAGAAAGTAAATCTGTGCCATCCCTCTGCAGAGAACGGTGAATTCAGAATATTTCTACTTGCTATAGTTCCATTCGGGGGAAATGACGTTAGGAAACGCTTTGAAATACAGATAAAATTTGCAAAAACCCTTTCCTTATAGTAATACACAGTCGCACACAATCTGTATGAAAACCCCAGGGGACAGTTGAATAAATGTCAGTATATACACACGCGACTTGGCATATAGAGGGTGGGTGGTGAATGAAGGGCACAGGAATGATAGAGGGTGCAGGTGGAAAGGGCCCCAGGGCAGGTCAGAGAAAGGACAGCGCCCACCACCTGGTGGCTAGGGTGAGTGATGCGGGCACCTGAGAGGGCCAAGAGGTCAGTACCTGGCACCTGGGGAGGCACATAGGGAAAAGCAGGTCCGTGCCCTCCCCACCCTTCTACCATCAGCAGGGCAGCCTGGAGGTGGACTCCGCTTCCCTGTGGTCACTGCTGAATAGACCCCAGCAAGTTATGAGCAAGTTATTCGGTCCAGCAGACCCGCGTTGCCATTTTGGGGAGCTTCTTGCAATTTCACTGACGCTGTTTTTGGAGGAGACATAAGATACCTACGTGCATTGGAGTTTGACTCCCAGTCAGGCGCGGGGTGGGGGCGGAGGACAGCAGGGTGGGCGTGTCCATGGGAGCTTCTTGGGCGTGACCGCCCCGCCCCCCACACCTGCCGGCTGCACCTGGCGGCACCCAGGCGCAGGCGTGCAGACGGCCCCCCGCCCCCACCGCCCAGACTCCTTGGTGACCGCCGAGGGCTTGGCGCGGGTGGGGGACTGCGAGGTCCGGACCCGGCGCGAGAAGGCGCCGTTTGTGCTTTGACCGGGGCCTCTTTGGGACCAAAGAGGAGGCGGGAGCCCGCGGCAGGGCCAGGTGAGACCCTGCCCCTGTGGGCGGCTGACTGCGGAGGGGTCTCCTGGGAGGACCCGCGGCGGGAGGGGCTGCGTGTGGGGAACGCAGGGCGCGTTGACGGGCTCGTGGCTGGGCTGCAGGGGCCTGGGGACGGGCTCAGGGCTCAGGCCTGAGCGTGGCGCCCCGGGTCCGCCGCCCCCATGGAGGCTTCTGCGGCGCCGCCTCTGGCGCCTTCTGCTGAGTCTTGGCTCTGGTCTGCTCCTCGGACCTGTGTTTTACCACAGTGGAAGCACCTTAGAGTTTGGGGACCCTGTTATGACAAATTCTGGGTGGCAGGCACGAGGGCACAGCGCCTCCCAGAAGCGTGATCTTAGCAGCTCCCCCGTTTTGCCCGGTGTCCCCCAAGGGAAACAGGTCTTTTTACCCAGGTGCACCTGGAGGCAGATGGTGAAGATTTAACTAGGGTGCTGGGTCTTAGCCTGCCCCCCCCCCTCCAAAGGGTGTTATTTAGATAAGTGATTGACCTCCAACATCAGCTGTGATTAGTTTGGGGTCAGGGGAGGCTCCCCACTGAATAGTTACTTCCCAGCCAACGATGCGCTCTCTGTCCTTAGAAACTAAATTCAAACTCCTTGTTTTGGAAGAAAATCTATCAGGAGGCTTCCTGGGTTCAAATCCTCCCTTTCATGATCTCAGGGACTGTGCCTGCTTGAGTGGAGACTGTGTTCAGTTAGCAGCTTGAAGCCAGGGAGCAAGACACTGCAGCCTCACTCCCCAGAGTGGCTTGGGGAGTCCTCATCTGCCCATACACACTGCAGCATCATTTGTTCTGATTCTGTGCCGTTGGGATGGCACTGAATCAGTATCATGCGTGGGAAGCCTGCACCCATCAGTGTAAGGTTGGGCACCAGCCAAACACAGGCTCTCGGAGGGAGGGAGCAGTCGCCCCAAGCAGAAGCAGGCGTTCGGGGGCGATCCCCTCATGACTTGTTTGTCACCACCAGTTGACAAGAGCCCAGGCAGGAAAATAAGTCCCATTTCCTTGTCAGAATTTCCCACCAGGCCGGTTCTCCCCCTCCGTAGGCCTCTAAAAGCCCCACTTACCTTCCCTCAGTGTGACTTCTCTGGCCTCAACACTCCCTGGGGTCGGTGAACCTCGCCTGGGAGCGCAGAAATAAACCCACTTTTGGTTTGACTGGCCTCACTATCTCTTTGCGTCTCCTCATTGCGCGGAAACTTTCATCAAGGCGCCGAAACCCAGGAAGGCTGCCCGGGGCGCCCGCTGCCTTCCTGCTCCTGGGACTGCCCCTCTTCACTCACCATCAGCCTTGGTCCTGGGTGGAGTCATCTACCTGACCCTCCTTGCTAAGAGGCCCTGCCTCTGGCTATCCACCTCCTCTCCCAACCCCCGTGGTGGACCTAGACCTGGATTTGGGGACACCCGTCCAGTCCAGCCTAGGTGCCCCAATCCTGGCACAGACAAACAGTGGAGACGTCTCTCCTGCTTGTTTGCCCCGTTGCGCAGGCCAGAACCTAATGGGATGCCGCCATCCATGGTTTGGCCCCCGAAGGCCAGAGCAGGCGCTCCTGACGCTGGCCCCCATTGGCTGGGAAAAGGAGCGGGGTCAACCATGGGTGTACACATTTCAAGCCTAGCCCAGCCTCTTCCCCCATGCCGTCTCTGGAACCTCAGGCCAGATACACGCCCTAAGCCCCTCACCTACCGCCACAAAGCTGCTTGGCCTCAGTGGCTCCCACTGGCCCGAACATGGCACTTGTGACTTCACGGTCCTTACCAACCCAAACAAGGCTGTTACTGCAATGGAGATGGTCACAGATCCCGTACACCCAGGCCTTCTTTCTCCTGTGCTCCCATCCTTCCCTCCTCAAAGCCTGTCACACCTTCTAGATCCTTCTTGCCCGTGACACCCCAACTCACCCTGACAAAGTCTCCCCCATAGGTTCTCTTAACACTTTATCCCCCAACTCCCCATCTGCTTTCACCAAACTCCCTGAAAGCAGGGAGTTCTCCGACTGCTCCCCACCCTCCACCTCCTTATTCAGGACTACAGAGACAGCCCAGACAACACGACCCAAAAGAAGATACTTGCCTGCTCTAAATAGGTTCTGCCATCTGCCGCATCAAGGCAAAACAGATAAGACTTTAATGGAAAGGAACTTTAATACAGTGAGTATACAATACAGAAGACAAAGAATAGTTTCCAAATCAAACACCTGAAGTCACGCATCCCCTCGTGGGCAAAAGTCCACCCAAAAGGGATTGGTCCAGAGCAAGGCCTGAAAGCTGCCACAAGACTAAAGCACCTCCTGGTTGGGGCCCATAGGAGAAGGTCAGAAACCGCCAGACAAGTCTGGGAGGAAAAGAGTGACATCAAAATCAAGATAAGCACTGCCACAGTCACCTCCCCACGGGTCTCTCACCCACATCCGTGTCACCCAGTCCAGGGCCAAGAAATAAACACAGTTTCTTCACGTCTCCCTTTGCTCTGTGTGGCTTCCTCAGGCCTCCTGGCTCTCCATCCTGCTTCCTTTCTCCTCAGATTCCTTCTCTTTCTTTTTCTCTTCTCAGCTCCACCCAACCTCTGGGTGGAGCAGGGAACCTGGGACTTCCCCTTTGCCTAGGGACCCCCAGTCACACTCCAACCCGACTTGTGTTGACCCACAGCCTCCGACCCATAGCCTCTGGGTCTTCCACTCCCAGCCAAGCCACCACGCTCGATCTAGGGCTTGGCCTCTCCTATGCCTGTGGAGGGAGGTTGCAGGCACAGAGAGTGTAGTCAGTGTCCAGTCCCCTTCTCTCTGTGATCTCTCAAATTCAGAAGCGCTTTGGCTCCTTCACAAATGACCCTACGGCCTCTGCCTGGGAATTCTGATACCCGACTCGGGCTTATGACCTCACCTGGCGTGATATTCACATCACCCTCTCTTTTCTGACTGCAGCTCTGGTCAGTGAGCCTCGCCTGGGAGCGCAGAAATGAACCCAGATCTCTTTGCGTCTCTTTACTGCGCCGAACCTTTCATTCAGTTATGTGTGTCATCCCAATCAGGGGCTCCCTTTCAGCAGCACATGGCAAGTTTCTCCATGAGACAGAGACATTAATTATATTTGAAGGGCAGGTTTACTAAAAAGGAGAAAACACTTGCATCCCTGGAGGGCAGACAGGCTGCCCTGTGGCACAGGTTTGCTGAGTCCTGGTGGTCGCGGGCGGGCGGGCGGCCTGTGCTGAGGGACCGGCGAGAAGCCATGGCAGGTGCAGTCACAGCCAGGCAGGAGCCTGCTGTCTTGCAGGGGCAGAGTGGGTGGAGAGACGCACCATAGAGGCTCAGGCGGGCAGGACTGCCACCCGATGCCAGGGCAGAGACCGCACTGACATGGTCGCTGGTCGCTTCTCTGGGGCCACACTCCTTAGTGGCGTGCGCTGTTTGCTGCTGACCTTGGAGACCTCTGCAGAATCCCCAAGGGCCTGAGGTTCCCCATGGGCCCATCTCCAAGTCTTCACCCTCAGGGCTGTGTCTCCTTGGGCCCCCTGCCTGTGACAGGCACTGGCGCTCAGCATCTTGGCTTTGTGGCTGGGTTAATGGCCACGTTCCTCCCGCTGCCCCCACCTCGTTGTGGGAGTCAGGTGTTTTTTGTTTTATTTTGTTTTTTAAAGATTTGTTTGTTTATGCTACATGTCTTTTGCAGCAACTTGGATGGAGCTGGGAAAGATCATGCTTAGTGAGATAAGCCAAAAAGAAAAAGAAAAATACCAGATGGTTTCGCTCATAGCAGGAGTATAGTGGACCAGGCGAGAAAATAATAAGAATAATGAATAGCCATATAGCAGAGACATTTTGTGGGGGTGGAGTGGGGAATGGGATCAAAAACGGGGGGTTAGGGGGAGGGAAATGCACGGGACTGTGGTGATGGCACACGGGTGACTCGGTGATGGGAAATCTGCGGGGATTACAATTGAGATGAAAAAAAAATGTACAAAATGATGTAAAAATAAACTATTATATATATATAAAGATTTGTTTGTTTATGCATACAAGAGGTGGAATACAGGCCATGAGAGAATTCTCACAAGAGACAGAGTAGGGAAGAGAACAGGTGGATTGCTGGGCCATGTGGGTCAGCTCCCTGGCTGGGGATCCAACTTGTGCTGCAGTGGCTCTGACTAGCTTCACAGTGCTGTGTTTAACCTGTTGCGCCACCAGGGAGGGCAGGTGTTAGTCTTATGGCCCCCTTCCCAGCTTTCTCTTCTCCGCCATCTTTGGGAACCCAAATGCATCTTGTGTTCAAGCTCCGTGGCTTCGGTACCCTGCTCCTGTCTTGCCGGTAGTTAGTGCAGTAGACTTGCGGAGTTCCTGCAAGGGAAGGTTTCCCAGAGGACGGGCAGTGCTGTCAGGAGAGGTGATTCCTGTACACACGCTCCCACCAGGGCAGAGGGTGTCTACAGTGTCCCTGTTGTTCAACTGGAGATTCTGCAGTGACGTTACAGCCCCACTTTCAGGGACTGAAACCTCAGTTCAGAGGTCAGTGCTGGTGGGATTGCCAGGTGTTACTCCCTCTGCCTGTCCCCCTTTTTTATGATTTATATAGTTGGATAGTAGCTTTATAAAGATGCCATCCGACTAGTGCTGCATGTAGACACGTTAATGTTTCTGCCACACATGTGTTAGCCTTTCAGCATTTTGAGGAAATGTTGTTGAACAACCCTGGAAGGTTTAGAGGCGTAAAGTCATCATCTTCAGAGCTGTGGGACCTTACCATAGCAGAAGGAGCAAAAGTGTGGAGGGGGCCAGTGGACTATTGGAGAGGAAGGAGGGTGCCTTGGGGAGGGGGATGTGGTATGGGAACATATAACTACAGGGTTGGTCCTCTACTTCTGGTAACGTTAGCTCAAAAATAAAAAGATTTGGGCCCTCCCAGGTGGTGCAGTGGGTTAGATCACAGCATTATGATAGTCTTGGCAGCCACTGCAGCATGAATTTGATCCCTGGGGAAGTTACTCACATGGCATCTCCTTATCTGTCCACTGCTCAACTCAGCAGGGTTTTTGAGTAGATCTGTCTCTTCTCCTGGTGCTGTTGCTTGTGAATCCTGTCATCCCCTTACACATCTGATTTGTACTTCAGTTCTTGTATGTACAAATTAATCTTTAAAAAAAAAAAGTTTTGTGTATATGTTGTGGAATACTACTAAGCTGTGAAAAAGGAGCACCTGCAATTTGCGATAGCATGAATAGAACTGGAGGGGGTGGTGCTGTGTGGAATAAATCAGAAGAACACAGACAAGTACTTTTTGGATTCATTCATATGTGGAATATTGAGAATTCTAACACAGGGTGAGGCAGACTCAATGCAGGAACAAAGATTAGAAATGTGAGAGGGATAAAGTCTCAGTGCTGTCAAGCTGTCTCTGGGCACTGTGGAAAGTGGGTTGTGGGGCAAAGGGAGGGAGAGGAGCAAAGCCTCGAGAGGGCCCAGAGAACTATGGTGGAGGATAATGAGCCTTTGGCCTTTGAGGTGGTGTGGCCAGGGAGCTAATCCACTTAGGGCACAGGAGACTTTTCTATGCTCGGCCACTGCTCCCTCAGTGTGTATTTGAGCAGATTCTCCTGATCTGCTCCCACTCTGTCTCTAGGGAGTCCTCTCATGCCCCGCATCTGGCCTCCATCCTACTTTTTCTGTAAACAAATCAATCAGTCAATCTTCCCCCCCCCAAAAAAACACAACAACACTAGTAGGAAATAGCTCCTGCTATATCTCTTATCACACAATATAGAGTTCAGAGCATGGTGCACTCTGTACAGGATAAAGCACACGCAACATAATGAACTCCCAGACTCTGCTCTTCTGACCCAGACCGCTGCCCTTACAGGATGGTGTCATTTGAGGACGTGGCTGTGAGCTTCACCTGGGAGGAGTGGAAGCACCTGGACGATGCCCAGAGGACCCTGTACCGGGATGTGATGCTGGAGACCTATAGAAGCCTGGTGTCCGTGGGTGAGCGACATGTGTGCCTGAATGTCATGTGCCCGGGTAGCTTGCTTGCTTTCTTTTTTTAATATTTATTTTTTGCATATAAGAACTTGAGTGAAGGGTGGGTGCTGAGGTTCACTAGAGACAGAATAGGGAGCAGAACTGGTGGATCGACTGAAATACACTGTTCAGGGGAGCAGCAGGCGAGACAGAGGTCTTTAGCTCCCTTTGTGGGTCAGACCCTGGCCAGGGATCAAACTCAGACCAAATAGGTGATAGTGCTAAGACTAAAACCCTGTTACCAGGGATGCCCATAAAGGCAGTTTGCTGTATGGTAAAGATCACAAAGTTTATGAAATTAGATGTGATTTTATGTAAGCTAAAATTTAATTCAGGAATAAAAAGTGAAAAATTTAAATGCTTCAGATGCTATGTGCACAGTGTGAGTGTACATTTCTCTACGAAATGCTCAAATTTGCCCTCCAATTAACACTGTCTACAAAAATGAATGTCAACAGCCCTGCCTGGTAGCGCAAGGGTTAAAGACGGCACTATCCAGCTAGTGCCAGCCTCTAAGGCGTGAGTCAGATCCCCAGCCAGGGCACAGCAGACCTCTCTTGGCCTGCCCGCTGCTCCCTGCAGCAGTGGATTTCAGTAGATCTGGCTGTTCTGATCCCCAATCTGGTGAATCCTCTTACCCTCCCACATCTGGCTTGTACACCAGTTCTTGTGTGCTAAATAAATAATATTTAAAAGATTGATGTAAGCATCTGCAGTGGTGGTGGCTTCAACCTCAGCTTCTGCCTCATTCTGATGGAGCTAGTTTTTTGTTTTTTTCTTTTTTAAAAGATTTATTTATTTGGCTCTCCCTGGTGGTGCAGTGGGTTAAAGCACTGCACTAAGAAGCTAAAGCCATTTCCGCATGAGTTCGATCCCCGCCTGCCCCGGAGGAGATCCACATGGTGAGGCAGACCTCTCCTGACCCGCCTGCTGCTCCCCTCAGCAGTGGACTTCGTCGATCTGCCTGTTCTGCTCCCCTCTCTGTCTCTGGTGAAGCTTCTCGCCACTCGTGAGCCTCTGGCCTGTACCCCAGTTCTGTATGCACAAGTAAATAAATCGTAAAAAATATTATTTATTTATGCATACAGAACTGGGGTATAGGCTAGAAGTACAGTGGCAGTGAGAGGATTCATCAGAGACAGAGTGGGGAGCAGAACAGACCGACTGAGGAAGTACACTGCTGAGGGGAGCAGCAGGCAGGTCAGGAGAGGTCTGCCGCGCCATGTTGGTCATTTCGGGGCGGGGATTGAACTCATGCGGAAGTAGCTTTAGCTTCTTAGTGCTGTGCTTTAACCTGCTGTGCCACCAGGGAGGGCCCTGATGGAACTAGTTTTTGAACAGTCCAGGTGAACTATGAATTGCTTGGGGACCCTCATTTGAAAAGGATCCCATGTCTTAGAGTCTCGACCAGTGGGGTTTTTCTTGCGATTCTCAGAGTCTTGTTACATTTGAGCTGGCCCTTGACCATGTTGAGGTTCTTTTCCTTTCCACCTTGGACATATAAGTGGCACACATTGTCCCCCAAATTTCATTTTGGGCTGCTCACAATCATTCTAATTTGATATATCTCAATCTCTGGTTCCATGGTTGTTCCTGTAGTATTTTTAAAAACCATGTTGAGGGGTGGCTTCCAGTCTGATCTGTTCCTTGATGCGAGGTCACAGAGGTGAGTGAGGACGAGGAGTTGGAAATGAGACCCCCTGTGTAGCTGCCACCAAGTCTCCACACATCCGAAACCAAAAAATCAAGCAACACTTAAAAATCTGCTGTTGTTATTTTTAAAAAACATTTACTTCATTTAAAGAACTGGGTTTAGGCTAGAGATATAGGGAATGAGAGGATTCACCAGTAATACAGTGGGGAGCAAAGTAGGTGAATCACCTCAGACACACTGCTGAGGGGAGCAACATATGAGGAAGAAAGGTCTGCATTGCCATGTGGGTCAGCTACCTGGTCGGGGATCAAACTCATGCTGCAGTGGCTGAGTGGTAGCTTGATAGCACGGAGGCATTAAACTCTGGGCCATCAAGGAGGCCCCTGTTGTCATTTTTCAAACACAGTGAAACATCAGATGTTTAAGCAAAGTCCTTTATCATTTCTCATCAACAGGACTTTGTGTTATGAAACCTGAGGTGATCATTAGGTTGGAAGCAGGAGCACAGCCAAGGACTGCAGAGAGTCCCCCAGCGGAGAGCCTCTCAGGTCAGTCAGAGCATGCTGGGCAGGTTGGGTGGGAAGGAGCAAGTCCAGAAGGTATGGCCACATGGACCTGTTTGTCAGTAATGGCTTCTCCCATGTCCTGGCCTTAGGACCCTTTGTTCTCCTTGTATTATGGGAGAGATTGCCTAGGCATATAATGAATGAGTGTGGGCAAGTCTGGGTGGTATCAGCACCCATTGCCAAATAGAGGACTCCAAAGAGTAGACTCACTGTAGAAGTGATAAATTGGAGAAAATATTTTTTTAGGAAACCAGCATAATTATTTTCAATGATATTTTGAATTGATACATCATAAATGTAATCTAAGTGTGTATAATTTTAGCAATAACTTCCAGCAAAGTCACTGTTGCAGAACTCAGGAGAGAAAAGCTTAAATATGAAGTATCTGGTGAGAGTTACTGTGAAATATCTGTTCTCACTACAAACAGGTGAGCAACCTTATGAATGCTGGAAGACCTATGAGAATTCAACCCACCATAAAAACCAGAGGACTGTTACAGGGCAAAAACTTTATGAGTGTAAAGAGTGTATGAAAACATTCTCCTGGAAGCCAGCCCTTAAGAGACATCTGAGAATCCACGTATGTGTGAAACCCTATGAATATAAACAATGTCAGAAGTTTGTCCAGCAGAAATCACATTTCACTACACACAAGAAGACTCACACTGGAGAGAAACCATATCAGTGTAAGGAATGTGGGAAAACCTTCTTGTGTCAGTCAGTCCTGAAGATACACCAGGGAACTCACGTTGGAAAGAAATCCTATGAATGTAAACAATATGGGAAAACCTCCTTATGGCAGTCAAACCTCAATAGACATCAGAGCACTCACTCACACTAGAGAGAAACCCTATGAATGTAAAGAATGTGGGAAAACTTGTATGAACAAAGCATATCTAAGGGAACATCAAAACAGTCACACAGAAGTGAAACCCTATGAATGTAGAGAATGTAGTAAATCTTTCTTCTCCCAGTCAGCTCTCAGGAGGCACCAGAGAATTCACACTGGGGAGAAACCCTATGAATGTAAAGAATGTAGGAAAACTTTTTTGTGGCAGTCAGGTCTCAAGAGACACCAGAGGACTCACACTGGAGAGAAGCCCTATCAGTGCAACGAATGTGGGAAATCCTTCTTGTCACCCTCAGCCCTCAGGAGACACCAGAGTACTCACACTGGAAAGAAACAGTATGAATGTATAGAATGTGGGAAAACTTACTTTTTCCAGTCATCCCTCAAGAGTCACCAGAAAATACACACTGAAGGAAAATCCTATGAATGTAAAATTTGTAGAAAAACCTTCTTGTGGCAGTCATATCTCAAGATACATCACAGAATTCACACAGGAGAGAAACTCCATGAATGTAAAGAATGTAGAAAAACTTTCTTAAAGCAGTCAGCCCTCAAGAGACACCAGAGCACTCACAGTGGAGAGGACGTCTATGAATGTAAAGACTGTAGGAAAACCTTCTCCTGTCAGTTAGATCTCAAGAGACACCAGAGTACTCACACTGGAGAGAAACCCTATGAATGTAAAGACTGTGGGAAAAATTTCTCATGGCAGTCATACCTCAAGAGACACCAAAGCACTCACACTAGAGACAAAACCTATCAGTGTAAAGAATGTGAGAGAACCTTCTTGTCACCCTCAGCCCTTAAAAGACACCAGAGCACTCACTCTGGAGACCGACCCTATGAATGTAAACAATGCAAGAAAGCTTTCTTGTGGCAGTCGGACCTCAAGAGACACCAGAGCATGCACACTGGAAAGAAACCATGAATGTAAAGGGTGTAGGAAAATTTGCTTTTGCCAGTCAATCCTCAAGAGTCACTGGTGAATTCACATAGGAGTGAAACACTACAATTGTAAAGAACGTATGAAAACTTGTACCCAGATGTCACATCTCACTTAACATCAAAGAAATTACACAGGACAGTAGCCTTGATTAGCTGAGAATGACCATTAGTTCACAGTTTGGACATTCTTTTTATATTGCAAATTGCATTTTGCTCTTCCACTTAGCACAGGTGGATCCTGCAACCTAACTCTGGCCAGGAGATTTTTGAACACAAGTGAGTGGTGAACATTAATCCTGATAGGTCACTAAATACTCAGCCCTCATGTTTTGTTTTGTTTTTCTTTTAAAGATTTATTTATTTATGCATAGAGGTGCAAGGGATGAAAGGATTCATCTGAAACAGAGGGGGAACAGAATAGATGGATCTACTGAAATCCACTGCTAAGAGGAAGCAGCTGGGAGACAAGAAAGGTCTGCTGCGTTATGTGGGTAAGCTTCCTGGGTGGGGATCAATCTTGTGCTGCAGGGGTGTTGGACAGCTTCATAGTGCTGAGACTTAACCCCAGCACAGCCAGGGAGAATATGACTTTCATATTCTGTGGCCCTGGAGGACATGTGACCTTCCGGTTTACCTTGGCGATGCATTGACTCAAGACTGGTCTCTTCCTGCCCCTGTCAGATAAGCATTCCTCTCTGTTATATTTAACAAGTTTGTCTTGCAGTCTGAGGTGAAGGAAAGACCTCCTAAGATGGAAATTAAACATCAAGTGTTATGTTGATAGCACCACCACACTGACAGGCAGGAGTCGTGGAACAGCATGCTGGATGCTTCTGAAGAGCAAGATCCTGGCCCTTTTGTGTTAGAATAGTCTTATAGCATCATTGTGTGGGGAAGGAGGACAAAAAGGAGTGTGGAGCTAGAAGAGGTGCTCTGGGCTCGTCCTCCGGTGGAATCTGCCCAGGCACTCCACTCCTCTGCTGATGACTGGGTGTTGTTTTTGAGATCAAGCCCTAGACCTGCAGCCAAGGTTTCAGTGTTATCTAGAAGGTTTCCAGCAATTGGCTTCTGGGGTGTCCTCCCCACCCCGAGTTCCCAGTCTAACCTGGTGATGCACACCCTTTTCAGGGTCACCAAGCTTTCTGCTCTTGATTGGTTTGAAAGGCACCTTGCAGGGTTGGGCTCCCATAGCTGATGACTGGAAAGTTCTGACTGTGTATATAGGATGCTGAGCCATAGGTGACCCTACTGGTAGCTGAACAGACTAATTGGGATTACACACACACACACACACACACACACACACACACACACACACACACACTTGCATTAGAGCAAGCTGGCACCCCCCACAATCTCTGTATCTGTGCATTAAAAGGACATGAAGCCCTTCCTGCCTCCCCTTTGCAGACCCACACTGACCTCCCTTTTGTTAGTGCCTTCGTATAAATGTCCCTGCTCCCTGCCAAAGAGCATGTCCATGGTCTTTCAGACATGAGTCTGCTGTCTTCAGTTTTTTTTTTTACAAATTAAACTACTTTCTAGCTCCTCAAACTCTATTTCTTTTCATTGTACGAGAGAAATGCAGGCTGGTGTTTGATAACAGCTTCATCTAAATGATAGGCAGAAAGGATGCCCTGAATGACCCCGGGCACAGGTTTTGGGGACCCCACCCCCACTCCAGACCTAAGAACTCAGGAACCTGGAACTATAAATCCCATCATGTCATCACAGAAGAGAAGGTGATGGGAAATGAGGGTACAGTTGAGCCTGCAGGTCTGGCATCTAACGAGACACATGGTCCTTGAGGGGCTGTGGTGCTTGGCTTTCTGCCAGCCTGTAACAGGGTGGACCCAGGAAAAGGGGAGGTTCCAAGTTCCCTGACCTACCCAGAAGGAGGGTGGAGTTGAGCAGGAAGAAGAATCTGGAGAGGAGACTGAAGGGGAAGGAAGTGGGACCGACAGAAGGCACAGGAGCAGAGGCTTGTGAAGAAGCAGCTCTTGCCTCTTGGCCCTGCACTGGGTGACACGGACGTGGGTGAGAGACCCGTGGGGAGGTGACTGGCAGCGTTTATCTTGATTTTTTTTTTAAAGATTTATTTATTCATATAGAATTGGGGTACAGACCAGAGATGCGGAGAGTGAGAGGATTCACCAGAGACAGAGCAGGAAGCAGAACAGGCAGATGGATGAAGTACACTGCTGAGGGGAGCAGCGGGCGGGTCAGGAGAGGTCTGCCGCGCCATGTGGTCACCTCCGGGGCAGGCGGGAACCGAAATCATGCGGAAGTGGCTTAAGCTTCTCAGTGCTGCGCTTTAACCTGCTGCGCCACCAGGCTGCGATTATCTTGATTTTTGAGGTTGCTTTTCCCTCCCAGACTTGTCTGGCCGTTTCTGACCCTTTTCTATGGGTCGTGGCCAGAAGGTGCTTTATTTAGTCTTGTGGCAGCTTTCAGGCCTTGCTTGGGCCAGTCCCTTTGGGTGGACTTTTACCCACGAGGGGATGGAGGACTTTGGGTGCTTGATCTAGAAACTACATTTGTCTTTTCTGTATTACACACTCACTGCATTAAAGTTCCTTTCTATTAAAGGTCCTATATATTTTGATGTAGCGGATGGCAGAACCTATTTAGACACTTATTTTTCTGTATAAATCCTCTGACCCCTCCCAAGATACAAATTCCAGGCTGCACACAGACAGCATACACCTCCTCAACCACGCACCGCTGTCCAGTCTAGCTCATCTTCCTCTGCACCCAGTGAGTTCCTGCCTCAGCCCATCCTGGGACGAGCCCTACACCACAGATGAACAAAATGTGCTCCCAGACCCTCCAAACCTGGTGGGCAGACCCATACCTGGCCCTCGTCACCTGGCTGTAAAACGCCAGGGAGTTGACCACTGGCACAGGTATCCCAGATAGCCGGGTGCTCCAGCAGTCAGCTACTGGAGCTGCACCCCTACTTGGCACCTGCTCACCATCGAACGGGATTAACCTTGCACCTTGGCCTCACCTTCCCCACACCACCCCACATCAGCAAGAAATAGCCAGAAAGAATGCTTCCCCCCATGCCATAACTAAGATGTCCGAATGTAAGGTCGAAGCGGCTGGACAATTCTGGGGCGGGAACCTTGAATTGGGAGCCGTCTTCTGGCCTCTCCTAAGTTGTGGGAACCGCCTCCCTGAGAATCAACCATTCCCGGATGGCATATTGGTAAGCGTCCCTGAGTAATCCCCTGTACACACAGCCATGCCCTATAAAAGCTTGCCTGTGTTCCCTAGCGGGCGCGACTTCTCCACACCCATGGGGGTCAGTGAGCCCCGCCAGGGAGTCCAATCAAGGTATGTTGAGTGTGACCATGTAACAGGTACAGATTTCATGGACTCCGCCCCCACTCCAGATACTGGAACTCCAAATCCCATCAACACCAAGGAGAAGCACGCTGGGATGTGAGGGCGGAGCTGAGCAGCCAGGTTGGGATAAAACTGGACATGTGGGCGTGGGGGCCTCTTGGCCTGGTGGTTCCTGGCTGGTCGTTTTGGCTCTCGATCAGTTTTCAGCGGCTGGCGGAGTCCAAGTCCAAGTCAGCTGAACTGGTGGGACATTCTAGATAACTCGTATTTCTTTTTTTCTCTGGGTTGTTCCTTTACCTTTCTTCTTGTAAATAAACCCATTATCGAACCTTTTTGTGTGTGTCCATAATACGATTGAATCTTAAGCACGCGGGTGAGGACCCACGGACAGGCAACCCAGTTCACATATACCACAATGGCCGAACCCAGGGCCTTGCATTGAGGTGTAAAAGCACCATTGTCAATACCACAATGGCCAGAACCAGGCCTTGCATTCAGGTGTAAAAGCCACATTAAAAAAAAAAACAAGCAGGGCCCTCCCTGGTGACCCAGCGGGTTAAAGCACAGCACCGAGAAGCTTAAGCCTGATTAAGTTGATTTCCGCCTGCCCCGGAGGTGACCACATGGCGCAGCAGACCCCTCCTGACATGCCCGCTGTTCCCCTCAGCAGTGTACTTCGTCGATCTGCCTGTTCTGCTCCCTGCTCTGTCTCTGGTGAGTCCTCTCTCAGCTCCTGTGCCTCTGGCTTGTACCCCAGTTCTGTATGCATAAATAAATCTTAAAAAAAAAAACAACAACAACCAAAAGCCTGTATAAGAGACCCTTCCCCCTACAGCACTAAGAGCCCACCCTCGGGAGCGCTGGCTCAGCTGTGCCCCAGGGAGCAATAAAGTGCCTTTCCAGCCTTTCTGTCTCCTGACATTCTTCCGTGCGGCCGGACACAGAAATCAGGACAAAACAAGTTATTGCATGTCAGAAACTGCCTGGATTGCCATCTCTCTCTCTCTCTTTTAAGATTTATTTGTGCATACAGACCTGGAGTACAGGCCAGAGGTGCAGGTGCAGTGAGAGGAGTCACCAGAGACAGTGGGGAGCAGAACTGGTAGACTGACGAAGTACACTGCTGAGGGGAGCCGCAGCGGGGAGACAGGAGAGGTCTGCTGCACTGGGGATCAAACTCGCACTGAAGCGGCTGCGCCCTAACCTGTGGCTCCATCAGGGCCATCTCCATCTCTTAACTGCACCAAACCTTAAGGCCTTAAGCCTTAAGGCCACATATTCTAGAGTATTAAATAAAAATTTTCTTTATTTTTGTATAGGCCAGAGGTGCAGGAGTGGATGAGTGAGAGAGATGGAGGATGATAGAAAAGTTGGAAAGGAGGCTCCATTAAGACCAGAAACCTGGCTCACACAATGCTAGGAGCTGGAGTGGGGGGCGGGGTAGGGTAAGATTAACATAACCATTCACCTAGCTACAGGCACTTCCTTTACCTGGGTTCCTGGTGTGGGGTCCTTGGCTCAATCTGGGAAAGGTTTCACCAGAGCTCCCCTTTCAGCAGCAAGCTGCGAATCTCTCCACGAGATAGACTCAGTTATATTTAAAGAGCAGGTTTATTAGGGAAAAGGACAGGA